CTCTGTAAATGCATCCCTCTGTAAATGCACGCTACAGCTCATTCCCGAGGGCGTGCATTTATAGAGGGTTGACTGTACATACATTCAGCAATATTAACACGGATGTAAAGGGATGCTTGAAAGGAATTTTGAAATGTCAAGTGGACAAACTATCGACATTTAAAGCCGAGGCTCAACTACAGAGCAGAGTCAAGCATTTCTGGTTTGAGAGCAACGATGAGCTGCTCCTTCTGCAGTGTGACTTATCGACAACAAGAGCGGGTAGTATTAGATTGGCAAAGTTCGTTATTGAACAGTTGCGCAACGAATACTTTGCAAGAAGACAACGTAATGAGTATGTAAACATGCCAACAAAACATGCATGTATTATATTGCATCATCATAGGGATCAGACAAGCACAAGTTCCTTCAACATCATGTGTGGATGGGAACAAGTAACTATTGAGACTTTAGCGCCTCAAGAGAAACCACTGTCTGCTCTCATAGAAGGCAGTCTAAGTACAGTAATTAACTCAACATATCCTTTCGAAGAGATCTTGCAACAAGAATTATTACGGTGTCTACTTTGTATTAAATATCCGAATTCTTCACAATCAATCGAGCATGTTCGGTAAGTATTGACAGTCAACATAACTACATATTACTGTCGCCAATTATTAACCATTGCTATCTTAAAGACGATTGATAGAGGAAATTCCAAACTAGAAAGCATTCGTAGATATTTTGAAGATGAGAGTTATGCAATGGATTGACGAGAATACTGAGTCAAACTGGCAGTTACGTGTGGCATCAGATAAAAGGGCTATTTACTTGCATTCTTCGTTCGCAGGCGCTCTATTAGCTTATATTCGTGTCCTTGTCAGGAAGCCCATTGCGCAGCTGTTATATGCACTGCGCGCTCCTGACGTTCTTCAACATTACTGACGATTTGAAGGAAGATGAAGAGTTGACTGAATTCTGGAAGAATATGTATCTAAACAAGAAGACTCTTGACATTGAGGCGATCAAAGAGCCTGGACCAGATGGCTATGCTATAGCTAGCGGCTTACATGACCTTCATTTCCCATTTATGAACCAAATTAATAGCTTCAAGAAAATATATACTGACGATATTGCCGAATTGGAGGAAGATGAAAACAACTTCGATGAAACTGGTGAACTCAATAAAAAAGTTGTAGAGGCTTAACTTAACAAATTCGAAGGTAGCATTTTCTCAGCGTTACCAACACTAAGATCTGCACCGCTGCGACGTTTTCAAAACTTTACTATAGAGATTTTGTGACAGTGATTGCGTCCAACCATGGTGGTGCCAAGGTTACCGGAATCCTAATGCCTCTTTTAAGCCGTCTTATGGGTGAAGACAAAGCTTTGAACCCCATCCTGTTGCACGTATATTGGTGGACGAAAATCAAATGCTGTTTTAGCGCAAATGCAGTTAGCTTCATTATTCCCGACTATTATGGAGAATTTAGACGACTACGAGGATTATGAAGAAACGTTTGAACAACATATTATTTATGAAGTGTCTCGAATTTTCCTGGATGAACTATGGCAACTTTCTGGCGAAGAAGACATTCATGACAAGGCGATAAAGTGGCAGCTGGACGTCGCCAATATTATGTCCCTTTGCGTCCAACTTCCCGGATATAAGGAAGTGATATCATTCCAGCTACTCAGGGTTTGTAATGATCTGCTTTCTGCACAAGCTATCCCTGTTGACCGCCTTAAAAACATTATCAACTTTGATGATGAAGATTTTCTTTCTGTGGATTTCTTGAACGACGTACTCAGTATTTTGGACAATCTCGAGCCAACAGAAAAGAACCTGACTTCACGTCAGTCATTCTTGTTACGGTTCTTAAATATGATTGAGAACGATTCGAAAGTTCAACTGTTCCTTTACGATAAAATATTCCAACCTGCAGAACCATTGCGTTTTACAGCGGCCGTCATTCTTCATATCATATCTGCAGAAGACATAAAGAATGATAATATATTACTATTGCTTGTGCGAAGTCCTACGGATGCATTCGCAAAGTCCAGACGCCTAGAAGCTATTAACCGCCAATTGAAGATGCACGATCCGAATTCACAATGGTAACACTTTGTTGTGACATCATTCAGCAGAAATTCAAACCTCCAAGAACTCTCTGGACTCTTCCGCGATGCGTCTCAGGCAATACGTGGAACAATGTCGGAACCATTGCAACGCATATGCTCTATTGCGCTTTTGAAACAATTTGTTCAGGAGTTTTGGGAATCTGCTGGTTTAGATAAGCCAACCGTTCAGCAAAGTGAGCTTAATTTTATGCTGACAGACGACATTCAAACGCTTATAGATGAACTGAATAGCGCCATGGAATTCAATCATCCACAAATTCATTCGCTAAAAGTTTATTTTTTGAAAAATCTTCGATTTCGTGGCTTTACCATTGGTGACCTCAAGACATTCTGCACGGTCCAGAAGGGGCTGCTACCTTGGTTGGCAACTTTGCCATGGGATTACGTTAATATTAATCAGACCAGTCGAATCCCGTTCAATCCTTATGGCTTACTTCAAGAATACGGTGATGCAGAAATAGCCTATACTACAATGACACGGATGGTTGACGATAATGCCAATAAGAGCAATGCGTGAATTGAGACTTTCAGCTTTCAAAGCATTCTTCACAATAGCGCCTAATTGACCCTTATCTAACATCTGTACGGTATTAGATCGTCACGTGAAACAACCCATAACGAAAATGAAGTTGCTGAATTTTTTGCGAGGCCAAATTGACGAGAACAAGTTTTCCGCACCTTATAAACATTTAGCTTTAAGCAGCAGCAGCTCGGGACCAGTGGGAGCAATATTTCCGTGACAAGTATGTGACTCCTATTATCAAGAACGTAGCAGCAACGGCAATGGACATACGCACGAAAATGGAAAGAGCTGAACCAGAGGAGAAACAAAAAGCCGCTCTACTCGAAACGGAGATAAACGAAACCTTAATGTTGACGGACGAGTATTCAAAGAATCACCTGCCAGGTTTATGGAGAAAGGTTGTGGATGTGAATAGAGAAAGTTTTGCAGCTTATTTCGCAAATAATGAACAACACAAAGCGACATTCCCGTTCATTAACGTCTTTTTCAAACACGAAGAGAAGTTGCCTCTAGTTTAATATTGATAATAAGAAGCGAGTTTGTCCTACATGCCGTAATAAATTACCAACAATCGCAGAGCAATTTAATGAGTCACCTGATATCACAAATACCGCCGCCGCAAAATCACAAGTCATTTATTCTCCCATGTTTGGAAAGACTCAATCAAATCTGGAGGGCGAGGTTTCTAATATTCGAAAGGTTTTTGAGCATATTGAAGAAATATCGGGCGTTAAAGACGGTAGACGTAAATCGGGTTGTGGTTACTTGTGATGGGATACCGTAATATCGTGCACTAAAAATGAAGAAAGATTTTCCTTGGCTCATATTAATTCCAGGCGCTCTTCATGAAGAAATGAATATGCTAAAAGCATTTGTCGAACTGAATTGGGATATTGATATAAGAGATTTTGCTCAATGTTAGGGGTATCGAACTGAGAATCAACTACAGTTCTTTAAAAAATGCTCTGATCATCATAAGTCATGGGATGCTATATGTAATATATATAAAGCACGCAATGGCATCTGAATTAATGTGGTCATACGTTATTTCTTAGGAAGAGCCTTCTGCTGAAGGCTATTTAGAATGGGCGCAGATTCAACCGGATTCCATATTTAAGTTAAAGTATGAACAGATTTTCTTATATTTACAAGCGATTATTAACTTTCGTAATGGAGTTCGTTTTAATAGGCCTTCGTTGAGGTTTGCAGCTAGACGTGCGTTTGCGCCGATTTGGTCTGCTCGGCGACATCCCATTTACCGATTAATCGAAATCGCTTATGAAGAACAAAGATTACGATTAAGGCCTGAAATTGACAAGTTGATCAAAGAAAGAATTGTAACTTCACGTTCTAAACTTTCAGATCAACATCAAGGCCATGATGCGATACTGGAAGAAATCAATAAAAGTCTGAAATCATTGGTTCCTTCTATACCATTGCAACGGCATTGGGAGATCGCAGCACGTAATTATACCAAGTTTTCGAAACTTTGTACTAATTTTTTTAACGTAATAAAATATTCCGAAAACGAAACATACGGTCCTCGCACACGTCCTAATTTTATTGCTGAATCACGTCGATTTCGGGTTCAACTAAGAAAAACGCAATTTGTAAACCCGAATGCTGATAATCGTGTTTTTCGAAATATAAGTGGAGAATGGATGCCAAGTGAAGAAATGAAAATATTTGGTGAAATAGCACATGCAAAAAGAAGATTTTATTGAAGCAAAACTAATCAAAGAAAAATCATTGGGCATTTGGCAACCAATTCCGATAATACATGAAGCAAATCATCAGAAAGCTGAAAGCTTATTAACGAAATCGGAGATTTTATCCATTATCAACTCCTTAACCCCCTTTATTAGTATTAGGCGATTCCCAACGGTCACATTTTCGAGGCTTATCGAGTAACTTGGTGAATATTCTTCAAGACATTAGAAATATATTATCTGGAGATAATATTACGATTAGTAATGATTAATTAATATAGAGGAATTTGTATTCAATAATTAAATGACACGTGACTTTAAAATTATTTTATAATATTAATATATACCCAGAACTTTCTAGATTTTTTTTATTGATATAAAAAGTGCGATCTGTAATGACTAAATTTGGTAGAATCCCTGACTGAAGTAGTGTCTTGTGTTACTTGAAACCATGGGTATTAATATTAACTGGAGTATATTGGCCATGTTTCTTTTTTCAGACCTAAGGTTTGTCAGAGTGCTTTTAATATGGTTTGATTCATTTGTTCTACTTGACTGTTTGCTTGAGGGTTCACCACCAAAGTAATAACATGTTTGATTTTCCATTTGGCCATCACCATAGTAATAGTCCCTTTGGTCCATGATAGTCTGCATAGGGCTACTGTATTATGTATACGATTATATGATCTTGATCACTTCCTCTGTATTAGTTGTTTTTGTCACTTTACGATTGGCTGTTTAGTCAATAGTCTTGGGCAACAATAATATACTCATACCCTTTTTTGATTAACATTACTACTGTTAGCGATATACGAAAAGAAAAGAATATCGGTTCCGGGGTCATCGTCGAATTATCTTCTCCATTATAAACCCCTCTTCACAAGATTAAGATTCCGAAATCCGTCTTTCTGTGTTGTGAACATCGGGTCATATGTGCGTAATTTGAGGGTACGTTGTCTGATGTATACGCAGTAAAAAAATTTTCACTGGTTAACAAGTTAATTAAACTAATACATAGGCAGACTCGATAAGTCGGTCAACGTATGTAAAGTCGCGATAAGCTCTCAACCGCCATATGTAAATTACCCTCCGACAAGTGATATTAGGAAAATATCATCACTATTTCAGTACAGTCGATCATATAAGAATTTTTTTACTTTGATTTCATCCGACATGTCACCCGTCATGAATACTGGTAGTAGAGGCGAAAGTAAAGCTAAAAAAAAACTCATTAATCTTAAAAGAAAAAGAGCTCCGTGAGTTTATTTGTTTCAAGTTTAAGACACTTAATATTAAAGCCGGAAATCGAGAAAAAACGAATTAATTACACAAACAGCATGGATATTTATTTAGAATAATGGTTTTTCCATGCGCTTGCCATTACTAAATAAGTCACGTAAATTCGATAAGTCGATCTCTCTTATGTGATACTAATATCGATAATAACAATAACAAATGGTCACATGTGTGTAGAACCATTTTTATTTTTGGAGGCCATACAAATAACAGATCCGAAGTATACGCAGTAAAAAAATTATCACTGGTTAGTTGAACTGATCTATAGTGGACGATATTGATAACAATATGTTATAACAATGACAAGGTCACACGCTGTAGAAACATTTAGAAGGATTTTAAAATTTTTATTTTTGGAGGCCATACAAATAAAGTGATGATATTGATAACAATGATATAACAACGACAAATTGTCACATGCTGTAGAAACACTTAGGAGGATTTTATGTCGATAACAATATGATTTAACAATGACAATGGTCACATGCTGTAGAAACATTTAGGAGGTGTTTATTGATGACAATTACGATAAGCCACGCGTATGAACTGATAACAATACAAATAACAGCAGAAACATTTACAAGGATTGTCTATTTTTAGATCATACAAATAACAGGTCCAGTATCCGGAGTATATACAGTAAAAATATTTCACTGAATATTATTAATTACATCATACGTGGTTTGTCGGACTCGCTAATCAATAAAAAAATTTTACATTGGTATTGATATTAATATTATTATTTACCGGAAACAATCGTCATGGTATTACACTAGACAATATATCAATACTGACGATATATATAACACACGTCGAGTTCTCCTTCACTTCATACTACCACATACAACCTACCTGTCCTTTACTTCATACTACGCACATACAACCTACCTGTCCTTTACTTCATACTACGCACATACAACCTACCTGTCCTCCTTTACTTCATTACACACATACAACCCGAACAAGCCGCCGCAATGAACATGGATTTCAGAACACTTATCGAGCGAGATCTTGTGGCGGCGGGATTCGTAGTAGAGAGGATAAAGTACGAAGGTTCTCTCTTATAACATATGTTGTTATATTGGTTTTAATTATTTCATTTGTTTTTTTAGTGGCAGCCTAGATCTTCGCGCGGAATTTGGAAATACCAAATTCCGCATCCAGTGCGGGGTACGCGCACCGCCGCGAACTGTCGGTAAGTTTATTTTTGTCATTACTTATTACTATGATAGAGATCAAAATACATACAGAAAACTAAGCTTTTTTTTCTTTCTTTTTTACAGGTAGACATTTGGTGCAGAATCTCGTCCGTTCGATGAGGCTGCACGGTGGCGAAATAGGCGTCATTGTTGCTACGGAGTTTACTGAGGGAGCTTTGACAGAAGTTCGAGGAGCTCCCTTCAAAATATATTTAGTAACTCCTGGCATAATCGTCCGCAAGTTAAAGCGGGCTGCGGCGGAGAACGACGAGGAGTTGGCGATGATGGCCGATTTGGAAGTGATTGAGGAAGCGGCGCGTTTGAAGGAGGAGGAGGTCAGGATGAGGGAGGAGGCGGTGACCAGGATGGAGGAGGCGGTGGCCAGGATGGAGGAGGTGGGCAGGAGGATGGAGGAGGAGGAGGACAGGAGGATGAAAGAATGTTTGGTCATTGTTCTTTGTATTTTTATCAGTACTATATTGTATATGTTCTTCAAATAAATACAAAGTTACATTTGGATTGCAAACGTAATGGTGAGGGTTCTCAGCACGAGGATCCGTGCGATAATCATCGTAATGTCTCTACTTATAATTTATGACAATAATCACAGTCTAGACAAATTTTCCCGAACCGACTATTTTTTTTAAAAAAACTCTAACCCCCATCATTTAGTCTAATACTCTTTGCTTGCGTCGAGCGATAATATCTTTCTTAACAGTATACCGTAATTCGCAGACCAAGGTATTTTACAAAACCTCGTACACCCAATTGCAATCTGACCCAATTCGAA